TCAGAAGACTGGCTGTGGACTGGAATTAAGGTAAGAGGGAAAGAGAAAAATCATTTTAGCAAGACCTGCACAGATCTCCTAAGCTGTAAATAACGGAAAACCATCTAGTCACTTCCCACTCTGACTTAATTTTCCTCCAAAGGATCCTTCACCTAAAGAGGCCACACTCCTAGACGTCTCCAACATGACTTCTCGATGCAGGGCTTTTTGGCTGGAATCCAGCAGCGACCACTCTTCACTGGTGAAATGAACGGCAACCTCCTCAAAGGATACAGGACCCTGAATGAGGAAGGATCCCTGTTAACAGATTTGAGAAGAATTTGCAAGACCTCCTTTAATCTGCAAATCCTAAAAGCACAATTATAATGCTTGATTGGACATGGACTCAATATGTTACATGATAAAATGGTCAGAGTTCTGAGCCTATAGATGACAGCCAATTAGGGCAGATTTTATCACCTTGATGGATTCTGTTGACCTTCAGTGTCAAGGAAGTGTATTTAGGCAAGCCTCTTGATCAAGGGGCAGATGGGGCCTTAGGCACACCACCATCAGGTTAGTGCCATCGCTGTAATCATTTTGGAAGTCCTTCAAGACCTGGTTATGTCATCAGGCCTGAGTGTCCCAGGAAACCTGAGACATTCTTAGATGACTCCATTGTGGTTGATTTTTTTTACTCTCCACTTGATTTGTATATTTTAAATTTTTTATAGTGTTCATTTCTAATATGACTTTCTATATTTTTATAATGATTATTTTTTATATTTGTTGTTTTATTGATTGTCATACACCACGCAGAGTCGCTTCTTGTGAGATGGGTGACCATATAAATGTGATTAATAAATAATTTGCAGGAGGTAGTGGGGATTTCTATCTGACATGGTAGCCAAATGGCCTTTGGGGTTCTCTGAAAACCAATCTTGCTCATACTTGGCACGTTCACGAAGATGCTGGGAAGTCTCATCCAGCAATCTGTGGGGATGCCATCAAGATGTAGGTGATACGCAAACCAATTTCTGCTTCTTGTCTTTCCTAGACAAAACAGTTGAAAAAGCTAGGAAGAGTATATACGAAACCACTTCTGTAAAACCAATATGGATGCAGTTGTTAAAAGCCAAGCTGGAGTCGG